GTGGAAGAAAGTGAATTTTTTTAAAAAATTTATATATTAAATAAAAAATATTAATTTTAACTAAAATGACTGTCTTCTAAAAGAACAAATATTTTTCCCTTAATTTTAATACAAAATAATTGAATCTATATTTAAGGGTTAGGGGGTGGGTATTTAAGTTTAAATTTTAATACGAAAGGTTAAATTTTATTCACTCAGATAAAAGTTCCATCATGCCTTCTTCATCTTATTTAAAATAAGGTACGCAACTATGCTTCTATAAATATGAGAATTATGAAGACAAAATCCAAATTATATTAAGTTTGTACTTCATGTTTTTTAACATGTATTAAACCAAATGAGACTAAGAAGAAAAAACTAGAAGTAGCTTTGGAAGATCAAGAGAATGATTTCATAACTTATGTGTTTTTGACAAATAAATGATTATTTAATCAATATAAAACGCAAATAACATTAATGTTATTATGCTTTTGTTTCTGAATTAGATGAACTTTTATGATTTTTAATTACTTAAGTTGCCCGAGGGAGAAAATAAGTAAGGAAGAAATATGTATCATTTTGATGGATACAAAGTTAGTTGTATCATTTTAAGTAAGAGAAAGAGATAAATTACGAGAGAGAGAATGAGTGGAAAAAATTTTAAATGTATGAATCTCACTTCTTTGTGAGAGTGAAATTGAAAAAATTTGTGACACCTGAGTTAATTAATATTTTACTATTATACCTCTTGCTTAAGTAGAGGTAGAATTTTGAATATAAATTGTTTGTAGAAATTCTTGAACGAACATTCCCTTTATATCTTCGAAGAAGTTTTTCAGCTAATTCTTTCCCTGAATTTTTAGACCACCCATGTAATTTAATGTATTTTATTTAAAATTATGAATTTAAATTATTTTAAAGTAAAACTAATATTAAAATAAGTTAAAAAGAACAATTAAAATTCAATTTAAAAAATTATATAAAATTTTGTTATTAAGAATATTTTTGTCTATTATATTATATATTGACCTTACCTGATTCATGTCAAACACAATACTTATCCATCTATTATCATATATGTTCATCAGATGAATCCTTATTTTTATTATGACTTAAGTATTAACTAAATTTAAACTCAATAATTAAGTAATTTCAGAAATTGATATAACAAGTTAAAAATATTGTAATTAAAAAAAGTATTATTATTGATGGTGAAGCGAGTAAAGGGCTAGGGGCATGACACCCCTTTAATTTTATATAAATGTTTTTTTTGTAAACAATTTATATAAATCCTCTTTTTTGGTAAACAATTTATATAAATCCTCTTTTTTGGTAAACAATTTATATAATTTTTTTTTGGGTAAACAATTTATATAAATCTTTAGTAGTAAGTGTCATTTGTGTTTTTTATTTTTTATTTTCATATAAACAGTGATAGTCCTCTTAACTACATAGATAGTTATAATTTACAAAGAATATTAAACTTGAGATTTCATCATTTTCATAAAATTTTATAGCTCCACCATTATTTATTATAGAGCAATATTTCTCTTATTTAATATAAGAAAAGTTTTTTCTCCGGCCGAAACAAGAAATATGTGACCTATGGGTTTAAAAAAATATATATATTGTCACATGTTTCGATGTCTATGTGATAAGAGATTAGTTTCTCCTTTCGTCCGAGAAACTAATTCCCCTCTTTTTTTTTAGAGGTTACAAGGAATTGAACACAACATCTCACACAACTAGGCTAACCCTAGTGGGTAAACTAATTCCCCTCTATTATAATATATCTTTGTTTATCTTTTAAATTTGTTGATCACACATATCTTGCATAAACTATTAGATCATGAAAACTTTACCCTTTTTTTTAGGGGTGTTCGTGGTCTAGATTTGATCGGTTTTGGAAGCAAAAATCATCCGATCCAATCCCTTCGGTTTAATCATGTAATCATCCATTCGGTTTGGAGTTTTTTTCAAATCTGATCCGATTCAATCCAATTTTTTTCGATTTGGATTGAATCGGTTTTCGGTTTTTTGAAAATCCTAAAATTTGTTTCATACTTATTATGCAAATAACATCTTTTGTATAATACGCTTTATGAATTTTTTTTTTAAATACAAGTACATCAATGAACGATAATATAGTTTTTTTTTTTGTCAATGAGATATGAAGCTCTACACAGATAAAATTTTGTTGATGAGATGTGACTAGGTTTTTTCTTGGGTTTAGTTGATAGATTAATGGGTTTTGAGTTTGGAAATTTTTAGACTATGATTAGGGAAAGACCCAAGTAGGTAGAGGGGAATTAATATATTGGATTGATTTGGATTGGATCGGTTTTCATCAACTCATCCGAAAACCGATCCTATCCAATTAAAATTTGCGAGTTTTTTTCGGTTTTCAGTTTTTTGATTTTCAGTTTATTCGGTTATCGATTTTTCGATTCGGTTACCGCGGTTTGAATCGGTTTGGATCGGTTGATGAACATCCCTATTTTTTTTTAAGGAGTTGGTAGAGCAATAATTCGATTAGTCATATATAAATGCTGCATGCAATACATTATTGTCACTTTTTTCAATAAAAATACTTAATTGTTATATCTTGCCAAAACGATTTTATATTTACTTATTTTATGTATTTTATATAAGAATCACTTGAAATCAAGTGCAAAGATCTCAGTAAGATGCAATACATTAGTTAGCTACACATTCATCTATATGACTACTATTCACTTTACGACAAATAAGCTAATATACATCCAAGTGAAAAAAAAAACAATGTAATTCATCTCTTTTTTATTGAATAAAATAAAAAAGCCATACTTAATTTGCATTTTGAAATAAAAAATAAAATTGGAAGAGTGATTTGAAAAATATGGGCCAAATAGGCCTAGTTTGAATGAGGTTTCTAAAAATAATTTCTTTGTTTTCATAACAAAAAAAAGTCATTTGATAAGAATAAAACCTATGAAGCACCGACACTTCTAAAATCTTGACGTATCGTATTCGACATTTTTTGACACTTCCCGACACTCCAACACTCATTGCAAAGACTCAAAAAAAGGTTCCAAAATTACGTTGCGTTGCACTTTGAGCTCCAACTATTAGATTTGTTCGATTACGATTATGATTTTATTGAGTTTAATATAAACATTTGAGAAATATTATGTTTCTTTACAAAATTGATGGGTATAATAAGTTTAGCTTTATTTTTTTGTTAAATTATTGAATACTAAATATAACATACATTACATAAATTAAAAATATAATATAATATCAAAACGTATCCTAACATATCTAAATTTAATATTTTTTACAATTAACATGTCGAAATGTCATCGATGTTGGTGCAACATAGAATAAAATTTTAGTATTACAGAAGTACCTAAGTGGTTATTCGTTTTTTTGAAAGTGCGAAAAAAATTCACTTTTCAAAAACCTGACACATTGCAAAAAAATTCACATTTGAAAAAAGGGAAATATAAGAATCATGTTGCAGGAATGAACAAGGAATGACACTGTTCATTCCTGAGGATACGGCGTCGTATCCTGACTTTGGTCTGACTTTTTTTTTTTAAGCGTGAGACCCACATTTGATTTGTGTGTGTAGGAAAGTGCTCTTGTTATGTCAAAAGACAAAAAGGGAACCCTTGAAAAAAAAGAGAGTACCCTAAACCCTAATCTTTAAATTCAAGTGGGTACTCTCGTAATACTAAAATTTTATTCGTTTTATAAGGCTTATTTTGTAAAAATAATTTAAAAATTATAACTGTTTTATTTTTGGGAAGAGTGTTTGTCATTTTAAATGGCAGAAAGTTATGTCATTTTAAGAGAGATACAGACACAGAAAATTTGAATTTTAAATTAAAAAAACCACACACTTTCTCTCTCCCATGATTTCTGTTTTTCTGTATCTATCTTTCTCTTAAAATGACAAACACCAAACCCTTTATTTTTTTAGAATTGAATTTAGAGGATATGGAAAAAGAGAAAGGGAGATGTACCGAGAGAAAAAAACAAAAAACTATTAAAACGCAAAACACAAGTAAAAATCAAAAGTTAAAACCAAAATAAATAAAGGGACACTTAGGGATGTCTATCAACCGATTCAAACCGCGGTAACCAAACCGAAAAATTGATAACCGAATAAATCGAAAATCGAAAAATTGAAAACCGAATGAAAACAACAAATTTTAATTGGATAGGATCGATTTTCGGATTGGTAGATGAAAACCGATCCAATCCAAACCGATCCAATATATTAATTTTCCTCTACCTACTTGGGTCTTTCCTTAATCATAGTCCAAAAATTTCTAAACACAAGACTCATTAACTCATCAACTAAACCCAAGAAAAAATCTAATCACATCTCATCAACAAAATTTTATCTATGTAGAACTTCATATCTCATTGTCCAAAAAAAACTATATTATCTGATGCTTTTGTATTTAAAAAAAAAAATTACAAAGCCAATATGCACAAAATATGTTATTTGCACAATAATCATGAAACAAATTTTAGGATTTTCAAAAAACCGAAAACCGATCCAATCCAAACCGAAAAAATTGGATTGGATCGGATCGGATTTGAAAAAAAATCCAAACCGAATGGATGATTACATGATCAAACCGAAGGAATTGGATCGGATGATTTTTTCTTTCAAAACCAATCCAATCCAGACCGCGAACACCTCTAGGGACAGTCACCGGAGATATTATCTCCAGTGAGCTCAAAACGACGTCGTTTTGAGATTATATGGTTAAAAAATTATAATGATAAAGACTAATATAATCTGCAATATATTATAATTATAAAAACACGTTGATTTCTGCTCCCAAAACGATGTCATTTTGATCTCCCTGAAGATAACTTATCTTCTTTACCCATAAATAAATAAATAATCAAGAAAAAAAAGTAAAGCAAAAAAAAAAAACAATGGGCTTAATCCATGGATCAAGTAGGCATTGAAGCATTAGGAGAAGTAAACCCACCCAAGAATACAACACACACATAAACGAGACCAACAAAACTCGGAACCAACCCTCCCCCACATTCGAAACAATAACAACATAAACACAAGCTATTCCTCTCATTCTTCACATAAATTCACTTCCCCTTTTCTTTTCTTTTTTTTCCAAATGCTTTTGTTGTCTGTTATTTTTTCCTTCTGACTCCAAATTTTGAGTTTTGAGTTTTGAGTTAGAGAGTTGCACGTACCCACCGCTTCTCTTCCTCTGTTTCCATCTCAAAATTCTCTCTTTCTCTCTCTGCAAATCTTGCTTTTCACTCTTTCTGTCTCAATTCCTTTCTAACGTAACAACGTAAGAGAGACAGAGAAAGAAGAAACCTATTTTTTTTTTTCTTGTTTACCTTACTTGTTGTTCTGTCCGATCAAACCCTTCACTTTTTTTTTCTCTTGTCCCTCAGAGATCTACTCGACTTGTTTTCCAGCAAATTTTCCTAGGAAAATCTGGAGAACCGATAAAGTACCATTCTTTTTCCCTTTTCACTATCTGGGTTTTCTTTATATGCCTTCAATTCAATGTTTTTCTTCATATCTTGTTTCTTGTTATTGTTCTTTTAATTCGATTTTTTTTTTTTGTGCTTTTGATTTGGCAGAGATGAAGAGAGTAAGGGATGACATTTATGCTGGTTCTGGCTCTCAATTCAAACGCCCCTTTAGTTCCTCACGTGGTGATTCGTAAGTTTTCTTTTTCGAAGAATCGTTTTGCCCTATTTTCTATTCACTAATTTTATGTGCCAATTTTGTGTTTCTCTCTCTCTCTTGAATTGCTTGTTTACCCTATTTCGTGCCGCGAGAATGGAGCCTGTGTCTTTTGTCATGTTCTTGCTTTTTGCTTCCCCCATTAATAAATTAAGCGTGTCTTTTGTTTCTTTTTTTCACTTGTGTGACAAATTGTTGCTGAATTTCCTTAGGGTTCTCTTTAATTTAACTTAATCTGACTGTGGAATGGGTTCTATGGTGGGATCATTTGTCAAAAGGAAAGGATGTGTTTGAAAATGGCCTGAGCATTTTGATTTGCTTAAGTCTATGAATGAATCTTACCAAGCAAGTAATATCGAGTAATGTTGTAAATTAACTTATTGATTAACTCAAAAAAACGGATAGAAGCACTGCATGCATTTATGTGGGGACTCTATTCTTTCATCTTGAGGATATTATAAATTTTGGATAGATTGAACATTGAACAAGTTGAACATTTGATATCTTGTAGATATTAGCATGCTATAGTTGTTAATATTCTGGGTATCTGAAATTGTGATTGCATTCTGTGTATGAAGCTATGGCCAAACCCAAGTCCCTGGAGGAGGAGGAGGAGGAGGAGGAGGAGGAGGAGGAGGGGGAGGAGGAGGAGGAGGAGGTAGTGTTGGTGGGGGAGCAACTACTTCCCAGAAACTGACTACCAATGATGCCTTATCCTATTTGAAGGAAGTGAAAGACATGTTTCAGGACAAAAGAGAAAAATATGACATGTTCCTTGAGGTCATGAAAGATTTCAAGGCTCAAAGGTAAACTCTCAGCCCCTTTTACACTATGTGATGATTTTGAAAAGTGGAGTGTTGTGCATAAAAAATCAATGGGTCTCTATTTTTTTGGTCCTTTCCAGGACTGACACGGCTGGTGTCATAGCAAGGGTGAAGGAGCTATTCAAAGGGCACAACAATTTGATTTTTGGATTTAACACTTTCCTGCCAAAGGGATATGAGATAACCCTTGACGAGGATGAGGCTCCTCCAAAGAAAACTGTTGAATTTGAAGAAGCTATTAGTTTTGTGAACAAGATAAAGGTGAACTTGCTTTTCAGTTGGTGAGTTATTTTACTGGCAATGTTGATTCCTAGCCCTAATTGATAGGTTTTGCTTCCACAGAAACGATTCCAAAGTGATGAGCATGTTTACAAATCGTTCTTGGACATTTTGAATATGTACCGCAAAGAGCATAAGGACATCGGTGAAGTTTATAGTGAGGTAATATGCTTTGTCCTTTTTTCGGGCACTCTTTGTTGATTTTTCTCGTTCTCTTTAAAAAATCTTATTTGTTGAATTGTTTATAATTTTTTTTTTATTATTCTCTAGGTTGCTACCCTGTTTAAGGATCATCGAGATTTGCTTGAGGAGTTCACTAGATTCTTACCAGATACTTCCGCAGCACCTTCTACACAGCATGCTCCATATGCTCGAAATTCATTGCAGCGCTTTAGTGAGCGGAGTTCTATGGCACCCATGATGCGGCAAATGCAAGTAGACAAGACAGTAAGTGTTGCTCTCCCCCTCCCCTTTTATATGAATTTTTTTGTAAGCTTCTGTTTTAATGATTGAGTTACAAACTTCTTTTTACAGCAACGATATCGACGAGAGAGGCTTCCTTCTCATGACCGTGAGCGTGATCTGAGTGTTGAACACCCTGAGCTGGATGATGACAAAACAATGATGAACATGCACAAGGAGCAGAGGAAACGTGAGAGTAAGGATAGGAGGATTCGTGATCAGGATGAGAGAGAACCTGATCTTGATAACAGCAGGGATTTGAACTTGCAGCGCTTTCCTGAGAAAAAGAAATCTGTCAAGAAGGCTGAAGGTTTTGGGTTGGCTTCAGACTTTTCTTCTAATGAAGACAAGGATACCTTAAAGAGTAAGCCATCATGCTATGCTTTGGACAAAGTACATTGCTTGAACACTTGATTATGTTTCTTGCATTTTAGATTCATACAGTTATTTTAGTTTGCAGGTAAGCTATCTTGTTTACAATACGCTGTTGGTTTTTATCTATTTCTACGTCATAAAATAGTGTAATTATTGGCAGAAGTGAAGCGAACCACCACCTAAGAAAATTGAGAAGAGGAAAGGAAACTATAATTACTTTTCTCTGGTGTCAAATTTCATCTGTAACTAGAGTAAACCAATGCCGTTTTTGAAATTGGTTTAACGGGAGAAATATGTGAGACAAGTCCGGGTTTATACATTGATCAATGTTATGAAACTATCATGTATCTTGTGATATTTGATATTTCTGATACTGTCATCTCTTCCCGGCCCCCTTTTCTCTTTTTTTTTTTTTTTTGAGAGATAGATACATCTCACCATTAGGACCAACCAATGTGTTGAGTGTTGTAATCTAGTATTTATTGGGAAAAAAACACATGCGTGATTAAATGTAGTCGTCACTGTTTTGGAGTTCTTATACTTCCTTTATTAGCATTTCTTTGTCCTGTTAGTATCTTTCTTGATTACAAGTTTTTCTGCTTTTCATTTATAGATAAATAATGGGGATGAATAGGACTGGGTCATCATATTGATCTGTATAGTTTTCTAACCTGTTGATTTTTGGTTTTTGTTATTCATGCCAGACATGTATAGTCAAGCATTCAGTTTCTGTGAGAAAGTTAAGGAGAAGTTGAACAGTGCTGATGACTACCAAGCTTTCTTGAAGTGCCTTCATATTTTCAGCAGTGGAATAATAAAAAGGAATGATTTGCAAAATTTGGTATGTGATTGCTTCTCTGAGTCATATACTTAAAAATTATGCGCGAAGACATGTCTGCTTTTACTCCTATACATAATTTTTTGGGTATTCTTGCTGGCATTGAATCATTTATGTTACTTCCTTTAGTTCTGTAGGAGTTTTATAAAGTTTCGTTAGTTGAAGTATGAAGATTAGTTGGTAGTAGTTTTTTCTCAAAATTCTGGAAGAAATTTAGAGAAATTAATGTTTCATATTATTGACTACTCAATGCTTTGACTAATGATATATGGTACTTGGGACAAATTAGTGGTATTTATTTTGTGTCAGTATTGAGATAAAGGATTTGGCAGAAAAGAAAATGGAAGGGGCTTAATACAGTGTATGAACTATGAAGGTTTTGTAGTCACAGAAAAAATGCTGGTCTCATGTTAGACTGTTAGAAAGCTTCATTTGTATAACAGTTTCAAGATCTGTGAATGAAAATAAAATGAAATGACCCGTTTATCTACCATTTTATATTTCATAAACAAATCATCTTGTGATTTGTGAATTTCTGACCTAGTTCTACAATTTTGGCTGCAGTATCTAAAATGTTTCAGAATGCAATTTTAATGGGGAAAATGTTTCTGCTTTTTGCTGTAGAAAATTTTTTCTTCACACTTACATAAAAGTTAGTGGGTCCCATTGTAAAGTGGAGAGAGAAAAGATTAATGGGACCCACTCATTTTTATGTGAGTGTGGCATAGAAATTTTTTCTACAGTTAAAGAAGAAACATTAAACCCAGTTTTAATATTGCACTTATATATAATTATATACTTTATGTCTTACTAGATTGTATGGATATGGTTTTCTGAGATCCTGATGCCAGTCTCTGGTTGTCACTGTCTGCTGGTTTGTACTTTTAAGATATTTAAATTATTTTCTGTTACTAGGCTCATGATCTTACCACCTTTATGAGTAAAACTTGAATTTAAATTTATGTTTCAAGTATGAAGGAACTTCAATTGTATTCCAATTTAGCCTTTTCAGTTGTATGCTGATATTATGTTATTTTCATCAACATCTGTTTAGTACTTCGTCTAAGTGATGACATTAAATATGTGAGGAGATCTAGGTGGTCAGACTTCTTTCACAAGCTCAAACCCTCTGGATTTTGATATGTTCCACATTCTGGGAAGTATTAGCTTGTGAATTTCTGTTGCAACTATTCATAATCTATATCATTTCAGGTAACCGATTTACTTGGAAAGCATCCTGATCTTATGGAGGAATTCAATGATTTCCTGGAGCGTTGTGAAAATATTGGTAATTGTTTTTCAACTTTCTTCTTCTTGGAAAGCATCCTGATCTTATGGATGAATTCAATGATTTCTTGAAGCGTTGTGAAAATCTTGATATTATTATTATTATTTCTAATACCTTGAGGTTGTATCTTGCAGATGGGTTCCTTGCTGGTGTCATGAGTAAAAGTACGTCAACGCACAATACATATTAATTATCCTCCTTATTATTATTGTGTTTTTATTTTCTTATTTTGGGGAGGAGGACTGTAAGTTGACTGCATTACAAGTTTCTTCTTTTAAGGAATCATTGGGAGGTTTATGCTGTTTAATTATGCTGAGCATTTTAAATGATTTTTTTTTCTTCCATATATTGTTGGTCAATTTTGATGTTGCAAATATGTTGATTTCAGAGTCACTGTCTACTGATGGTCATTTATCAAGATCATCAAAGTTGGAGGACAAAGACAAAGAGCAGAAGCGTGAGATGGATGGAGCTAAAGAGAAGGAAAGATACAGGGAGAAGTACATGGGAAAATCCATTCAAGAACTTGACCTTAGTGACTGTAAACGTTGCACTCCCAGCTACCGGCTTCTACCTGCAGATGTAATATATAGCTTCTGTTTGATTTCTTTCTTTGTTGCTCTATCAATGTGTTGTTCTTGTGTAATGCCTTGTTGCTTTATTTATTTATTTATTTATTTTGCAGTATCCAATTCCTACAGCTAGTCAGAGATCTGAGCTTGGTGCTCAAGTATTGAATGATCACTGGGTATCTGTGACTTCAGGAAGTGAGGATTACTCTTTCAAACATATGCGCAGGAATCAATACGAAGAGAGCTTGTTCAGATGTGAAGATGACAGGTAAAACTTGGGCTGCTTTTTTTGTTTCCCTTTTATTTTGGGTAGTTCATTATTTGTTTTTTTTACTTTCCTTTTCTTGGATCTGACAGTTTTTCTTTGATTCTATTATTCATTTTTCCTCCAAGATGCAATATTCATTTTGGAGTCATTATTTTGTCAAAAGATAAAATGTTTTAATATGTAGCAAGAGATGATGATATTGTTATTTCTGATGTAGATTTGAGCTGGACATGTTATTAGAGTCTGTGAGTTCTGCAGCTAAACGTGTAGAGGAATTATATAATAACATGAATGAAAATAAGATCAATATGGAGACTCTGAACCGTATTGAAGATTACTTTACTGGTTAGTATCAAAATAATCTCAATAAAAAATGTTAATTTCTTTAATATTATTGTTCTCCATTATTTTAGCATTATGAATTGATTGTCTGAGGTTACGTATTGCAGTTCTAAATTTAAGGTGCATTGAACGTCTATATGGTGACCATGGTCTTGACGTTATAGACATATTGCGTAAAAACCCAACTCATGCGCTCCCTGTAATATTGACTCGACTGAAGCAGAAACAGGAGGAGTGGAGTCGGTGTCGTTCAGATTTCAATAAAGTTTGGGCTGAAATTTATTCTAAAAATCACTACAAATCACTTGATCATCGTAGCTTCTATTTCAAGCAACAAGATTCCAAGAACGTGGGCGCAAAATGTAAGTTGAGCTTAAGTCATATGATGGAATTATAAGTGTATTTGCTCATTGATATTTACATTTCATTGCTTTGATTTGCCATTAGCTCCTTGAATATGCATCAATAAGTCGGGGTAGAATCGTAGAAGTATTATTATGCTTGGAATCAAAAGGTACATGGGTTAGTTTGGCAATTTTTTCATCTCCTTGAAGCATTGAAGCTATGTAATGGTTGCTTAGTGGCTTCAATGGCCATTATTTTGTTACGGGTTTCAAATAATAGAAATTTTGAACCTAGCTATGGCATAAGCATGAGAAAAAGTACTTATAGTTCTTGATTGCTTTCATTATATTTATATTGTTACAGGGTACAGATTGTATTGTAAATCCTTCTAATCTGTTCGAATATTCTGTTTGATAATATACAGCTTTTGTGGCTGAGATTAAAGAAATTAAAGAGAAGCAGCAGAAAGAGGATGATATTCTTCAGTCTATTGCAGCTGGAAATAAACAGCCTCTAATTCCACATCTGGATTTTGAATATTCTGATGCTGGTATTCATGATGATCTGTATAAACTAGTTCGGTATTCATGTGAAGAGGTATTCTCAAGTAAAGAGCTATTAAATAAGATTATGAGGCTCTATAGTACCTTCTTGGAGCCTATGCTTGATGTTCCTTCTCATGGAACAGAAAGGGCAGAGGACAGGAAAGCAGGTCATAATGTTCGCAATTTTGTTGCACCAAATATAGTGGGTGATGGAAGCACTAATGGAGACTCTATTCCAATAAATTCAAGGTTACCAAAATCTGATAAGAATGAGGCTGATGGTAGAGTAACTGAGGTAAAGAATGTTCACCGGACTAGTGTAGCAGCCAGTGATAAAGAAAATGGACCTGTTGGTGGTGAGCTTGTTAGTAGAGATGATCCGTTAATGGAAAAAGCGCAGAAAAATGTAGAATTCAGTGATAAAGCCTCGGGGTTTAGTAAACCATTTGCCTCTGATGAGCAAGGAGCTAAAAACAGTGCACCAACTGCAATTAGAGGAGAAAACAGCATAAGCAGAACCAACCTAGATTCAACTCCAGGTCTGTATACAACATAGTTTGCAAAATTGACATCCTCCATGATTTTGGTTTTTCTGTTTATGTTTGCTCACTTCAATTCTCTTTCATTACTGGTTTAATGAATTTTATTCAAGGTTGTTGAATCGCAATACATATCGTGTATCGTTTGGCTGGTTTTTCGTATTGTGTATTGTGAATCTAAGATACAAAGACACTATAAAAAATAATTTAAAAATAAAAAATATATTTAATATCATATAAAACCAAATTCCTTAAAGGATCCGATAAGTAAAATACATAAGTAACTAAAGTATAAACTAGTTATTCTCCTACTCATCAATCATCAAAACTAATATTATCACTACCATACTTATTAATCTCGGATAGCGGCGCGTAGCGCCCGACCCTCCAATATAGCGCTACAACGCTATTGTGCAAAGTGTACCTAAGAGATACACTAAATTGTACTCCACAAATATAAAACTTAAAATATGAAAATGTGACATAAAAAACAAATTTGAAGGATCTCAAACATAAATCATTTCAAACATTAAAATTCATATCATAAGCAAATTGAAGGAATTAAAGTCTCAAATAATGTAACACAACAAAATAAAGTGGCAAAATTAGTCAAAATTCAAACCGCCACTTAATTGAAATGTCAAAATCAAAGAATTTAAGGAACTAATCATAATTGAAATCATGAACATCCAAATCTTCATCTTCACTTTCACTTGTATCTAAGTTGTAAATCTCTTCCTTCTACGACGAGAACACCTTTGCATAAACTATTGCGCCGCGATTCAGCCAAACGGAATGCAACATTCGCTACACTATTGCGCCGCAACATTCGCTACACTTCGCCAAACCGTCGCGACGAGGTCTATGGCTGCCGGCCGCTGCACCACAACGCAACTCCGCTATAGCGTGCTAAGGCGGGGCTATTCACAAGTATGATTTCTACTATCACTATCATCATCTATGAAGCACCGATACTCCGAATTTTTTTTTTCCAACGTATCGGAAACGTATTGTATCATATCAACGAATTAACAGTCGTATCGAGAACGTATTGGGAACGTATCGAAAACGCCGTGTCAGAGTCGGTGCTTCATAGATCATCATGTATTAGTGATTTTTCGACTTCGTAAGGCTAAAGCAAAGCGGTAAAGATATTTTGAAAAGGCACTTTTTTGCTTTTTGTTTATGCAACCTTCTGTTGCTTTAATTTGAATCAGTTTTGTATTGATTTATTTTTTTTATTTTGAAGATTGAAGAGATTTAGAACATTTATTTAATTATTTCCTTTATTAATACAGATTTTTCATATTGATTTTTAAGTTTAAATCACAAATCAAATCTTTATTTTCTTTTCCTTATTAATATTAATATTTTATATTTTTTTAAATTTAAATCACTAATTAAATCATTATTTCTTTTTCTTTTTTATATTAAAAATTACAAATTTTGATTGAATTTTTGTATTAGCATACAATGCGTATCGTATCGTCCAATACCACCCCGTTTCTGATACACCCTCTCGATATGTATTGTTGAGCCTGTGAATCGTATCACGGCGTACGATACGTATCATGTATCTTATGCTAACTATAATTTTATTCTTGTCAAAATACTAAGTTTTGTTTATATTTCAAGGCTGTGTCCTTACTCCATCACGACCTAATGATGCTGATGATTCTGTGGCCAAGTCTCAGAGTGTTAATGTACCATTGGTGGAGGTATGGGTTCTCAACTGTGGTAAATTTCACCTCGTACCTATTTTAGTAAAAGTATTTGTTATCAGTTGTGTCCTAATTTTTTTATTAAACCAAGGGATTTTTTATTTTATCCCATTTGATATTGGCATGTTTCTGTGCTTATCTTTGTGTTTCAGGGATGTGACATTGCAGCTCCAGTACCAGTGGCCAATGGGGTGCTAATTGAGAGCAGTAATGTTAAAAGCCATGAAGAATCTGCTGGGCCTTGCAAAATTGAAAAGGAAGAGGGTGAATTATCACCAAATGGTGATTCTGAGGAGGATAACTTTGTTGCTTATGCAGATTCAAATGGGCAGTCAATGCCTAAGTCAAAGCACAATATGGAAAGAAGGAAATATCAGTCTAGAAATGGAGAGGACGAGTGCTGTCCAGAGGCTGGAGGTGATAATGATGCAGATGCTGATGATGAGGACAGTGAAAATGTTTCTGAAGGTGGTGAAGATGTCTCAGGCAGTGAGTCTGCTGGTGATGAATGCTTTCGGGATGATCACGAGGAGGAAGAAGATATAGAACACGATGATGTTGATGGTAAGGCTGAGAGTGAAGGTGAAGCTGAGGGGATGTGTGATGCACAAGCTGGCGGAGATGGCTCATCATTACCGTTGTCAGAAAAGTTCCTTTCGTCTGTGAAACCTCTCACAAAGCATGTCTCAGCAGTTTCATTTGTTGAAGAAATGAAGGATTCAAGGGTGTTTTACGGAAATGATGATTTCTATGTACTTTTTAGGCTTCATCAAGTAAGGATAATGTTATTACCTGGTGTTTGATATTGAAATTTCTTCTTGGTGTGGATGTCATACACATTCTTTTTGAACTTGGCAGATTCTTTATGAAAGGATCTTATCAGCAAAAACAAATTCAATGAGTGCAGAAATGAAATGGAAAGCAAAAGATACTAGTTCCCCAGATCCTTATTCAAGGTATATTTTCATCTTATCCTTAGCAACGCCCAAGATCCCCATTTTATTATTATTATTATTATTATTTTATAATAATAATAATAATAATAATAATAATAATAATAATAAAATGAATAAATAAAATAGAGTGCTCATTGCACTTTTGGATTGATTGTCCATGTTCTCTCTTTAGATTTATGAATGCGTTGTACAACTTGCTTGACGGATCTGCCGAGAATGCAAAGTTTGAAGATGAATGCCGAGCTATTATTGGGAATCAGTCATATGTGTTATTCACATTGGACAAGTTAATATATAAATTGGTCAGACAGGTGTGTTGCTTTGTTTATCTATCTTATTTCTTCTTGCTTATTACTTGTTTTCGTTTAAAGGTTCTGAATATTAACCTTTTCTGCAGCTTCAAACTGTTGCAACCGATGAGTTAGACAATAAACTACTCCAATTATATGAGTATGAAAAGTCTCGGAAACCTGGGAAATTAATTGATTCAGTATATCATGCAAATGCACATGTCATCCTTCATGAGGAGAATATATACCGTTTGCAATGTGTAGGTCCTTTGTGACTCCCCTTTCTCCTTATTCTTAAAAAAAGAATTGGGAACAGGAACATGTGTTCTGGACTTTATAAATTGTTATTGTTATCTGTGGTTAATGTTATTTTCCATTGTTATCTTATTGCAGTCCTCTACCCCCACTCGTCTATCCATCCAGCTCATGGACAACATGAATGAAAAGCCTGAGTTGTTTGCGGTTTCTATTGATCCGAATTTTTCTTTTTATCTGCACAATGAGTTTCTGTCTGTCATTCCTGGCAAAAAAGAACCCCATGGCATTATAATGCAAAGGTACAGATTCTGCAAGCTTAATCTTTTTGTTTGGTGCATTTATTGTTTAGTTATATTCCCCGTTTTTTTTAAAAAAATTCTTGCTTAATTCTTTATTTGCAAATTGGGGCTTTAACATTTTGGTTTTTGGATTTTACTGCATGCTCTTAGCTACGTGGATACATTGGCAATCATTTTCAATTAGGTAATGCATAAGCTGCTGCTTTATATTTTGATATATGCAGAAACAAACGCAAATATGGAGACGTAGATGAGCTTTCTGCAATATGCTCTGCCATGGAAGGTGTTAAAGTGATTAATGGATTGGAATGTAAGATAGCTTGCAACTCATCCAAGGTATGCTTCTCTTTCATACTTGTGTTTTCATTTTTGCAGCTTTCTGCTTTATTTTGCAACATTATTAGACATATGTGGAACCTTTCCTTCCTTATGTTTATCTTCTCTCTCTTTCTCTCCAATGATGTAGAGATGCCCTTTGTCCTTCTTCCTCCAAGGTTTTAAATTGTAGTTAGTGCTGCAGTGGCAGTTGTGTGGCCATTATAGAAATTCCAAACGAGTGCAAACCACAATTTAAAACCCTCTATCATCTTTAAAAAGTTTTCTCCGAAAAAATAAGGCACTAGTGAAACATAGAGAAGAGGAAGCATGGACATAACACATTGATTTCATCTAAACGATAAGAAAATAAATAAATCTTTAAATCTATAAAAGTCAGTTAATATGTTTAAATTAATATAACATTGTTATGATATTCATGTTAATCATCCGTGTATTCACAGATAATGAGGAGTAGATGAATATCAAGTTTGCCATCTCGTAAGATTCCTGCAGTTTCACACAGTTCAAGAAATTTTTCATCTTCATCCATTTAAGGGGAGCAAGTTTTTCTTAAAGTTTCCTAGAATGCCATAGAGATAGGTGTTTGAACATGTAGGATGGATTGTAAGCTGTTGGAGAAGTGTCAGATGTTGATATTTAATAATTTTTTTGACTTGTCAAGTTTATCTAGCAAAGGATATATTTGGAGCTTTGATGGTGAATGCTTTATTCTTCCCGGTGCTTAATGGTTATGATAACATAGGTGTGAAACTTTAGTTGTTCTTTTAGCATATGGGTTTTTATGTGCCATTACGAGACTGTAGGGGTGTCCACAATTTGGTTTTTCTATTCCGAACCGGAAAAGTGATTTGGTTCGGAAAAACCAAACTGGTTTTAAAATGTTGCTTGGTTCTTGAACCGGTTTGGAGAAAATATATGGGTTCTAGTTTGGAAAAATGTGCAGCAGTTCAGTTTTGTTCGTTATTCGGTTAAGTTCATTTGATTCTTTTACATACTTAGGAATGGATATTGGTTCGGTTCAGCTTGGTTTTTAGCCTGAACCGAATCGGTAAGGTTTTGAATAAATGATCAGGTTCTTGAATCGGTTCGAAGAAAATGGTTCGATTCTTAAATCAGATTGAAAAAATTTGGTGCGGTTCGAATTGGTTCACGGTTTGGTTCAGTTCATTTGATTTTTTCCACACCCCTAATTATATGAGCAATCAAACATTGACAAGGCAATTTGATCTTCTGGTTTATTATTTCCTTAAAACCAATAGCTGTAGAAGAATGCTTTGTGTTTGGTTTCTTTTGGCTGTGTTATGCTCGTTCATAGTGAGTGGCACACAAACTCTGGTTCTGTTTTTCTTAATCACTAGTTTCATATGCAGATTTCCTATGTTCTTGACACACAAGATTTTTTCTTCCGTCCTAGGAAGAAAAGACGAACATCATCAGGGACCACATCCTCACAGCATCGAAGGGATAGAGAGGAAAGATTCCGCAGAATGTTGGCATGCTCCTAATTTGTATCTAAAGAGTTGTTCTCTCTGACACATCTATTAGACTCACATACATAACTTCTATGTTTATAAAGAGTCTTGGTGTACCAACCTTGGAACCCTTTGGTTTCACAATTTTATTGTCTGTGATAATGTACTTGAATTTTCACATGAAAGTGGAGGAGGAGGGGAGAATATTGATGGGACTGTGTAATATTTCTATGAGGTCTCATCTTCCTTTGTAAATAGTTTACTTCATTATAATATTTGTAGAATATTGTTTACCAAATTGATCTTGTCCTTCATTTGTTGCAACACAACTTGCTTTCCTCCCTTCCAAGCTTTTGCATGGCATTATTGTTCTTTTCATTTTGTTTCTCTCTAATATTTCGTATTCTTGGATTCAAGCCTCAATGTTTTTTCTTTTTTCCCTTTATTTCTTGACCATTATTTTTCTCCAACATTTCTCTATCATTGAAGTCCACTCAAGTTTTAGAAGTGTATATATTTGTGTAATGTTGGAATGAACAAGAATACATCATAGGTCTTCGATTCACTATAGCTTTTAGTCAATTGCCTTGTATAACGAAAAATCTGAGTTAAGTGCCTAAAACTGGGTTTGACTCATCCCCATTTATGCTTTATTATATTGTAGAGTTGGGTTTGACAAAAGAATGGGACATAAATATTAGGGGTTTATACTTATGTAAGAATTTTTACAGTATATACATATTCAGTTGGGTCTCATTGAAAAAAGTAAATAAAAAAAATTAAAAATATTGGCACGTAAAATGGTATGAGTATAGCATGAGGAAACTCTTTTTATGTTACACAAGAAGTAGTCTAAAGAATTAATGTGTCAAATGGATTGGCCTTTGTGCTGAATCAAAAAATAAAATAAAATTAAATAAGTAAAATAAAATTGGTTTAACATATTTTTGGTCATGCTAATAAAAGAATGACTTTTGTTTAATTTCTACTTTGGATCTTTTATCAGTAAAGTCTTTGTAAGTGTTATTGTAAATTCTCTACTGATCTTGAGATCAGATTAACTTGTTCTCCTTCTAAGCTTTTTATAAGGAAAAGAAAATATTTTAAACATTAATATGAAGGGCAAAGAACTTCTTACGTAATATGAGAAGAGAAAATTTTCTTACTAACCCTTCAATTTTTGTGTTGACTCTTTTTTTTTTTTTTTTGTAACTTGTGGATTCCACATGACTTTTTCTCTCTATAGTATAAGAAAATACTTCTCAAATAACATGTAAAACCCTAATATGTAATTCAAGAGGCTATTAGCTTCAAGTCTTCAATCTGTCCTTCAAACAAATTGAAAAAAGTTTTCAACAAAATAAAATAGGTAAATTTGATTCTTAAAAATAAGAAATAATTATATTTTTTAGAACTATTTTTACAAAATAGACCTATTCAAATAGGTTTTTTAATTTTTTTTGTTCTAAAAATAAAAAAAATTATTTCTGAAAACAGAATTCAAACATGCCGATGGTAATTTCTTTCTCATATAATTTTTTGTGTAAGGATTTGATCAGACCAAATACGGTATGGATAGTCCAATACGTATTAAGCCCAAATCACACACGGTTGGACTCCTTCGGTAGTTTCTGGTCTGGGCCTGGTATTGCAGTTGGGGTGAGCCTGAGCTCTCTGTCCTTTGTCCTTCTCGTTGCACCAAATGGGGTGAACTATGTAGCACCGATACTGACACGGGACACGTGACACGACACGACACTCTGACACGTTAATTTAAAAAATATTAGATTTCGACACATTAGGACACGTTTTGATATTAAATAATATTTTTAATTTATATAGTGTATATTATATTTAATATTCAATAATTTAACAAAAAAATTAAACTAAACTTATAATATTCATCAATTTTGCAAAGAAACATAAGATATCCCAAATATTTATATTAAATTCAATAAAATGATAATCGTAATACAACGAATCTAATAGTTGGAACTAAAAACTCAACGCAACACTTGAACCTTTTTTTAAATTTCTATAACACGTGTTGGAGTGTCGGGGAGTGTCGGTAAATGTCGGAAAATGTCGGACACGACACGTTAGGATTTTTGAAGTGTAGGTGCTTCATAGCCTGCGAAGACACTTCGATACTTAAGTCAATATCAGAGGCAGGTGTTTATGTTGTGAAAGTAAAGGATGATCGTATCTTGGTGGTATATCGTGTGTTTATATAGTAACTGGGATGCCGCCTTAGTTAAGACGGCTTGGCTTCTGAGTGGCTAGCCTTGGGCTGCAGGTTGTTTAGGGGACCTGTGTAGCCTTATCTTCCATAGGGTCTAGTAGTAGATTTGAGGCAAGCTGGAGCTGTTCGTTGTTTACTGGAGCTAAGGCGCGGTGGAGTTATCTTGAGCCTTACGTTTACTTCTCTTAGAAGATTTCATGTGCAATACGAGAATCGAGTCTTGTGTGCCGCGATGAGACCATCGCGGCCTGTACGTCGCGATGGGGGACATCGCGTCTAGAACGTCGCGATGGGGGATATCGCGTCTGGAACGCCGCGATGTGGGCATCGCGCCAATGCTTGCTCCTTGTGCTTCGGAGGGGCTTGGGTTTTCCTTATGGAGCCATGATTGGGCCTATATTTTATCCGGATCAGGATTCATTTTAAAAAAATTCCTTTATATCTAAAACCTAGGAAGCACCGACACTTCAATAACTTTGGCGTGTCGTGTCCGACACTTCCCGACACTCTCCGACACTCCGACACTCCCCGACACTTCAACACGCGTTATAGAAATTCAAAAAAAGATCAAAGGTTGCGTTACGTTAAGTTTTTAGTTCCAACTATTAGATTCGTTGGATTACGATTACTATTTTATTGAGTTTAATATAAATATATGGGATATCTTATGTTTCTTTGCAAAATTGATGAATATTATAAGTTTAGTTTCATTTTTTTATTAAATTATTGAATATTAAATATAATATACCACTACATAAATTAAAAATATTATTTAATATCAAAACGTGTCCTAACGTGTCGAAATCTAACATTTTTTAGAATTAACGTGTCGGAGTGTCGTGTCGTATCGTGTCACGTGTCCCGTGTCGGTGTCGGTGCTACATAGTCTAAAACAACCAAACAAATTCTCACAAAAAATTAAAAAATAACCAAACAAATGATTTTTTTTAGAAACAATAACAATTATATGACAAAAAAACACACAAGTCTATTGATTTGAATTCGACTTCACCATAGAGATTAAACAGAATGTTTTATTTAAACTTAGACACTAAAAATAAAAATAAAAAGTTAATCATAAAATCCCTAAATTCTGATAAGATTAAATGTAATTAGGATAATTTGGATAACCATAATTAATGTGATGGTTATATTGTATTCAAAGAGAAAAGTTTCTATGCTCCGGTAGCGGATACCAATTTGGAGAGGGAAAAAGATTAATACAGATATCAATTTTTTAGTAGAAGAATCATGGTGATCCTGGACCACATTAAAGAATTCCGTATTTAAAGGTCATAAAAAATTAAATATTATCATCACGAGACATCAATAATGGCCAATAATCATCCCCCACGTATTTTATAATATTTTAATATCATTTGCATTTTTAAAGTAATAAAATGACTGTTTAATCTATATAAAATTAAAAAAAAAATTCTGTTTTTGTTGTATTATTTTTTTTTATAAAGTTTATATAAAAATAAATTAGTCCCATTAATTTTATTTTATTTTCTCCTTACAATGAATTTACTTACTTTTACGTGAATGTAATGGAAAAAAATTGCAATTAAACCCATAAAATTAATTTTTTTTTTTTTACGTATAGCTCCTTAAATCATTTTTATTATCAAAGGGAAAAAAAAAAATTGCACACCATTAGCAAGGGCATTATGGTAATTGGAGAGGCACGTAGAGGGGGATGTAGATGAAAAACAGAGATAGAATAGAAAGAGAAAATCAAACGAAGAATTTGTAACATCCACTCCCTCCCTATCCTTCTCTCTTCTCTCTCCGTTTCCTTTATCATATTCTCTCTCATTTCAATGGCTTCTGCTTCCTTTTCTGATCCTACTCTCTCCACCAAGAAGAAGAGGGTAACCTCTCATTGTCTCTTTTGCTTCTTCAATCATTTTTTCAAAAAAAAAAAAAAAACTGATTTTTTTGAACCTGTTGAGCTAAAGATGTGATTTTTTTTCAACCCATGAACCATTGCATTGCATTTTCTTTTCTTGGGTATCAAAGGGTAGCATTTTCTTTCTTTCTTTCTTTATTTTGTTGTTTTGGGGATTTTTATTTTTATTTTCTCTCATGGTTTTGTTATTTTTTATTTTTCTCTTTTTATTGACTTATGACTTTGTGAATATCCTCACCAATTGTATCAAAGGGTAGCTATATTTCTTTCTTTCTTACCTTGTTTCTCTGTTTTGGAAATTTTGGATTTTTTTTTTTTCCATATTTATTGGCTTATGGCATTGCATTGTTGAATGTTCAGACAAATGGGTCGGCGAAACTGAAGCAAATCAAGCTTGATGTTCGGCGTGAACAATGGCTTTCTCGAGGTAGCTTTATGATCTTCATTTTCACCTTGAAATTTTTAATCTATAGACGATGTTGTTCTGTTCTATGTTTAATATATCAATGACATTGAATTCTCGACAATGATTTATTTATATATTTATTATTTATTTCCCTTTTCTGACTCAATCATGGTTGATGAATGTCTTAATTTGGAGTTTCCTTTTATTTGTTAATCTCTGCAGATGATATCCTTTGTTTTTTGAAGCATTTGTTTCTGTCATTCTATTGTTTGCTATAATTATTTTTTGAAATTATGCATTTGCTTCCTTGCATTATCTACCTGCATAATTTTGGCTTAAAAGGATATCAACATGTATGAAATCTTCTCTTATAAACTTTCAAATTGTACCATCTAACTAAGAAGATCTTCAAAGCTTGGCATGATTAGTTTTGGCCATGTTTTGAAGCATCATCAATCATGTGACCATGTTTTATCAATGGTTCCAATTTTTGTATGTTGCACTATAGTTAATGAATAAATAAAATCTAAAGTGAAGTAAAGCTCTAGTCTTTTTAACTGGTAACTTAAGTGTAAGACCAAATTCTATATATCAAAGGAATGAAAGAATGATTCATAACGTCCTTTTTAAATTCAAACATGGTATAAACATTCTCCACTCCAGCAGTAGTATATGTAGAATCTGAAAGTGAAAGGAGGAATCCCCGGGGATCCTGAGATGCATTGTTTCAAAATCCTCTCAAAGTTGCTAAGTTTTTTTTTTTCATTGTTGATTACAATGTTGTGTTTTAGTCAAAAAAGGATGCAAAGTTGACTCAAATGGAAGTGTTGATTATTGTCCATCATCTACGCTCGTTGCCAGTGAGGAGAATCGATCATCGTACGAGGAAAACGTGAGAAAAAGAGGAGAGGCTATTGAAGGCTCTTGCATCCAGGGCGTTGACACGGGATCCATGACAAACAGCCCCATGCAAAGTACTTTTGATCATGATGAGTCACCAAATGATTTCTCCGAGAGGAGTACCAGCAGTAGCAGCATGAGCACTTGTTTCTCAGGGAATGTCAGCGAGGAAGAAGAGGATGATGGATGCCTTGATGACTGGGAAGTTATTGCTGATGCGTTATATGCAAATGATAATGTGCATTCCGTGGTTTCAGAGTCTCCTGCAGAGCATGAGATGAAGTATTCCTATGATGTTTCAGAGGCTACTAAGAATCCTAGAGTAGATTTATCAAAAAAAGAGTTCACATCGGATATTCCTGAATCGAATCTGAACTGTCGAGCATGGAAACCTGATGATGCTCTTCGTCCTCAGTGTTTGCCCAACCTCTCCAAGCAACATAATTCTCCATTAAATTCAAACTGGCACGGTAACCACAAAAATGTACCTTGGGCATGGCAAACAATCATTTCTCAACCTTCTCAATGTCCCATCTGTTATGAGGATTTAGATGTGACAGACTCAAGTTTTCTTCCTTGTTCGTGTGGATTTCATCTCTGCCTTTTTTGTCACAAAAAGATCCTTGAGGCAGATGCGCGATGTCCAGGCTGCAGAAAGATATATGATCATGTAGATGGAAATGTTGGATTCAACATAGGAGCAGAAGCTTTCTACATCACTCAATGATGCAGTATGAAAACAGGTTGCTAGATCTTAGAAGACAGATTGTGTTTCTAGAAAACATGTTGTAAATGTTTTTTTTCTCTTATCACTTAATTCATAGCCCTTCACCCCTCCCCTTGTTTCAATCTATTGTCCCCTTTCTGAATTTAAAAGATCAAATTTCATTGAGAATATGAGTGTAGTGACTAGGTAGAAGGTTTTAGATAATCAAAAGGTAGAGGTTTGATTTGCATTACCATGGTTTTTTTGTCATATGTTAATGCAGAAAACTGAATGCTGTTATTGTGAATAAAAATAATAATTGCACTCAAATTCAATTTATATGCTGTTTTGACTATTGGAATTTCAGGTGGTTTCTTGATATCATTCCTTGATTTAATTAACTTGGATGCTGATGTTTGTAATTGAATTCTACATGCATTCATCAATATTAATCTCCACATATTATATCATAGTTTCAGGTATTGTCCTATCTGGTGGTTTGAAACTTAAATCGGTACTTGAAATTCCATTCCACCCCTTGGTTAAGTTTTTGTATAATTTAATGTTTTGACTTTTAGCTACTTCTTTCATGTCGGTGATCAAGATGTGATGCTATTTTTGGTTTGGTGGTTTGTTGGAATCTAATTTATTAATTCAGAAATTGAACTAACTTTGATTAATAGGCTATTGAGAAATCTGGAAAGTTCTCTTTCTCATACTTGTTTGCTTCTTTTTTCAAGCAATATATTTCCAAGTGAACTTGTATTGACAGCTTCTTACAAACATTGCATGGCTGCAAAAGTATATACATGCATATATACGCATATTTTTGTGTCCAAAGAAACCAAACTTGTATAAAATTTTATGCTTCTACATGTCCATTCATGTTTATCCTTCCACCATGCCATAGATTATCCATGGTGCTAATCTTAGCTATGAAGTAAGGAAAAACTGAAGTATATATTCATTTAGTGTGTACATATTATATTCCAAACGCCAGAGAGCCCCTGGCTCTTTTATAGTTTTTTTTTTTTGGGTAAACATTTTATGAGTAAAGGATTTCTCCCATGGTCAATGTAGATAAGTTATTTTCCGTGAGCTCAAAGCGACGTCATTTTGAGATAGAAATTAAGATATTTTTGTAATTTTAATATATTGTAGGGTTATATTAGTCTTTATCATTATAATTTTTTAATCTTATAATTTCAAAATGACGTCGTTTTGAGCTCACTGGAGATAAAATTTTCACCGAAGAAATACTTTTCACACATTTTATATTCTATATTAAAACAACGTTAGCAACAACTCTTTGTGGCCAAAAATATGTGTTATAGAAAAACCTATTTGGTGGGGACCAACAATTTGTTTAGTCAGAGAATCGGTGGGGAGTTAGTCATTGTTTATATTATCTTTATAATAGGTGGAGTCAGATGTTGACCCAGTGCTTAGTCTTCCTCGACCTTAAAAGGTTTAGTTTGCACCTAACCTGTGTACATAATGATGGTGTAATTATGTGTAAATTTCATATAATAATTGTGTTAATCTTATATTAATTACCTGAAAAAAAAAATTATATTTAGCTCTTCTCTGGATGAATATTCGATGCGATGCTATCTATTTAATACTTGTAAATAGCAGTATTGTAAAACTCAGCCCGATCCGGTCGGGTCGACCAGGGATCCAGTGAACCAGTCATTGGACTGGTTTGATTTAAGTATTGGACCGATCATGCATTAATTCGGTCAAATCTAGTCAAAACTCGAACAAAATCGACCAAATCCGGTGACCCGGTCGGGTCATGTATTAAAAAAAAAATCAAAATTGTTTCATCTTATCAAAAAAAAAAATGTAGAACTCATTTTAAAATTTTTTGTAATTTTATTTGTTAGTATACTCTTCTACAATGATCCCAAATTGAAAAATATGAGTTCAATATTTATTGAGAAGTATATTTATGAAAATTTTGAGTTACAATTTAAATTGACATAGTAATAGCGTGCATTTTTATTTATTTATGCTTCATGTTTTTTAGCATATTTAGTGAACCTTGTTTAATTCATTTTAGATATAGAGAATATAATTGAATTTATATGTTCATATTTTTATATATTACCGGTCCGACCAGTGACCCAGTACCCCGACTGGGTCGATGTCCGGGTCGGGTTTAATAACACTGGTAAAGAGAGATACAAACATAATTTTTAGATAATCATATTATGTGAAATTTAAACATAAAAGGATTAAGGATCTATTATCCAAATGGATTATTATTACATGTATTATGTATTAACCACTGAGTGCACACCATTTATTCAATTTGTAGGTACTACAAGATATGAATTAAATTAAATTAAATATGTTTCATATTAATTGCATCAACTAACATTTTTTCCAAATAAAATTAGGATTTTATTTTTCTCATGTTGTTGGAGATAAATATCTTTTATCATAGACACATGATATGATGGGACCCACCATCTATTAAAAAAAAAGTGATGGCACAATTTTTTATGTGAGAGAAACATGAGAGAGTTATCTCATGTAAAATGAGACAATAATTTTCCATAAAATTATGCGTAATTTGTGTCAAGAGTTATAATTTTAGTGATACCAAATTTTTGTAAGAATAATTTCATTTCAGATCGAACACAAATTAGTCTATTATTTCTCTATATTAAATATTAGTATCATATATTAAAAAAACAATAACAATAACAAAAACACTTGTGTGGTTGTGGATTATAGTTAACAACTTACGGTTTGAGACCTAACAAAACCACGGTTTGAGACCAAAATTTCATACTCCAATTATTTTTATTTTTGTCAAACACGTTCGTTTAATAATGGCTTTGTTTCACCCATTAAATTGAGGTCCATACTTTTAAGTGTGCAATAAACAATTTTCATTTTATGCAAAATTATGTGCGTACAGAACACACCAAAATCTACATAAGATCCTTGGGACATACAATGAAGATCTTTACATCGTTGACAGTGATACTTCGATTGTGGGCGCTTTTGGTGTCATATGCTTGAATTCTAGATATTTGTAATAATAGAAAACGCAATACGCGTTTCATTGTATTGGACAGAGACAAGGAAGGATAATATAGTACTTGAAGTTGAGGGCATGCATAGTGTTATGCATCAAATAAGTCTATTAACAAAGTGCACAGATATGCGTTATGTTTTTTAAGTTAAAAGAAATAAAGAATTAATCATATGTGAAAAGAAGTCATAAATGTAAGAAATATTGATTATTCCTTCTCAATCATTCTTTCACTCAATTTATGCATTTTAATAGCAGACAACACAAAAAATGATGTGAATGAGAGAAGTCGCAGTTTTCCAGCTGGCGCAGTTTGCACGGAGCATGGCGCAAATCGCGCCATTTTAACTTGAAGATTCTGTATCTTGGCGCAAATTGCACTGTAGTGGCGCAATTTGCGCGGGGCTTGGCGCAAATCGCGCCATTTGACAACTTCAGCTCTGTTTTCCCGTGCAATTTGTGTGGGAGTTAGCGCAAATTGCGTGGGCAATACTTTTCAATTTTAAACTGACGTGAATTACTCAAAAAGGAGGTCCAATTGGAGGCCAATTGAAAGTAGATTTTCTCAAAACCTAATAAAAAGATCAGAAACAAAGTAGGTAGTCTATTTTTCTTAAAAAAAATTTATACATAAGCATATGTATATAAAAATTTAATTTTAGAGTGCAGTTAAAATCTACGATTTTTATTACGATTTTACGATTTACGATTTTTTATTCCCTTTTCGATTTTAGGTAAAATCCTGATTTTGACTACTTTGTGTAAGAGTTTGTAAATAAAAAATTCATAAATATAATCCTCTTCTATATTACTCAAAACATTTTATGATCTAGGGAGTGCTTAATTGCTTTGAGGAAATTTCAAATATTGTCAATATTTATAGACAACTCATCCTTCTTGTAATGTAGTATCACCTACTTACCCTTTTTGCATCTTGTGTTTTCATTAACAAAGTTAAGAGAATGTTGTTAGTTTGATTCAGTAATCTTGCGACGTGTAGAGAGATTCAGTTATATATATATATATATATATGGATCTATTAATCTCATGTTGCATAAGACAATTATCTCTTTATTTCCTATATATATATATAAGGAAAATATTTTCTCATGTTATATGAGAATTCAATTCTCATGTAAATGTAACATGAGAAAATTAAATCTCATATATATATATATATATATATATATATATATATATATATATAGGGTGCATATTTTCTTATGTTGTAGGATAGTAAGAGAGAAAAAAAGTAGAGATAAATTAAATGTGGGTCCCACATTTTAAATAAAAAAAGAAAAGAAAAATTAATTGGCACGGAAAACGAATTTGTGTAGGAAAAAGTTCTTATCTCATGTAGAAGGAGATAATGATTTCCCATATATATATATATAGACATGATGTGATGTAGTATCAGTTCCTTTCTTTCATGCCGGTGATCAAGATGTGATGCTACTTTTGGTTTTGTGGTTTGTTGGAATCTAATTTATTTATTCAGAAATTGAACTAACTTTGATTAATAGGCGATTGAGAAATCTGGAAAGTTCTCTTTCTCCTACTTGTTTGCTTCTTTTTTCAAATAAACTTGTATTGACGGCTTCTTATAAACATTGTGTGGCTGCAAAAAGTGTATATATATATATATATATATATATAGCTTTAACGTTTCTAAAGTAAATGTATATAAGTTATCTATATTTGCTCCTAAAATGACATTGTTTTAGGTTAAAAAATTAAAAAATTATAATGAAAAAGACTATTATAACCCTGAAATAAATTATAATTACAAAAATACCTTGATTTCCGCCTCAAAACGACGTCGTTTTGGGCTAAATGTAGATAAGTTATCTACATTGACTGTAGAAAAAGCGAACTCACATATATATATATATATATATATATGGGAAAAAATGGAGATAAATTTATCTTCGGCCACCCCAAAACTATTTCGTTTTGTTTATTTATTTCTTTATATTAATTGATTCACCTTTGAATGATTATGATTTTCTTTTTCTCTCTCTCTTCCTTCATTACCATTGATCCATCTTTGTACGGTTATGATTTAATAGCCGGAGATAAAATTATCTCAAACAGTTTGAGAAATAATAAGCCATATATATATATATATATATATATATATAAGAAAATATGTTTCTTATGTTGTATAAGACAAAATTGTTTCATGTAACACACAAAAATGGATGTGATTCATTTTTTTCTTTC